GTCTTCATGATGTGAAGTATTGTTTATTGTTGCAACCTGATGCAACCTCTTGACTGGACTTTGCTTTTGGACGCAGACCCTAACTGTTCTCACTGGAACAGGAGATTCTTAAGAGAAAGATGTATGCTTATTTCTTCAGAATACTGGTTTTATAGGAACAGGGACACCAGAAATAGGCTAACTAAAACAAGGGAGATTAAAGCATGAGGAATGAAAATTGCTGGCTTGCATGCTTTAATGATATCGTTCTTATTATATTTGTAAGAGGAAAGTTGATTCTTCAAGTGTGAGGCTTGAAGGCTAGAAAAACCAGGAAGTGGTCTGAGGTGTCAAGGGATTATCTTTCAAAGTGTCTTTTCTAACCAATGATTATTTTTTGCTGAAGTATTTACTGTGTTAAGGAGAAAGAAACACGATATGATACAAGTCCTATACTACTAGAGGTTTATATTAGCCTTTAGAATCTCAACACCAGTTTTCATTTTTGGGGATACCCACTTTCCATTTACACTGAAAGTCTACATCATTCACCAGCCTGCATTCCTATGGTTGCATAAGTCATTTCCCTGGTGAAGCTGGGTCTCTAAGAAACCTTCCAGCAAACCACTGAATCCAGTGACCACAGAGGAGTGAGGAAACTGAAGGACTGTTGGTGTGAGAAATCATGGGAGTTAAAAATGGTAAATTAAGTTTAACAGGCACTAACAAAATGGGTTTCCAAAAAGCCAACATATAAAATATTGCTAATCCACATGAATTATTGTCATTGTTGTTGTTATTAGGTGTCATCATGTTGACTCGTAATGACCCTATGAGCAACAGAAGTGAACTTCCTATCCTGTGCCAGCCTCACAATCTCTGACATACTTGAGCCCATTGCTGGTCCCTGTGCCAATCTATCTGGTTGAGAGTCTTCTTCTCTTTTGTCAACTCTCTACCTTTCGAAGGACAATGTCTTCCAAAAAAGTCTCTCCTAGCAACATGTCCAAAGTATGTGGTATGATGTTTTAACCTTTGCCTCCAAAGGGAACTCTGGATGCACCTTTTCAAAGAGATATCCGTTTGTTCTTTTGGAAGTCCACAAGATATTCAAGACAATTCTCCAACACCAAAGATCACCAAAGTGTATCTTGTGATACACTACTTTTCTCTATCAGAATGTCAAAATTAATATACAATGCACACATGTAAACACACAAAAATCAGGCAAATATAGGATATGAAGCAAATAAAATACATACATGAAAATGAGAATTTAAATTGCTAAAACCATTTGGACTTTTCACACTGAAATTTAAATTCTTTGGCAGATCTATTAAAGTTATACACACATGCTACCCCTGAAAAATTCCCCTGGTAGGTGCATTCGCAAATAGAATGTATATTAGTCTACCTAAAGGCGTGTGTAAGCTGTTAATAGTAATTCCATCTGCCCAAATCAGCAGGGGGAAAATATGTCCACTAACTTGGGAATAGATAACCAGCAGTATTTCCATCTAATGAAATACTACAATGCATTACAAAAGAATTACTGTTACACATAAGATATTCAAGTTAGAAAAAGAATGTTGAATGATAAAACAGATGAATGGGACCTTCTAAGAATCAAATCCCTATGGACATCCAAAAACTTCTCCAACCAGGTTAAAAGGGAAGCCACAGACTGGGAAAAAATATTTGGTAATGACACGTCAGACAAAGGTCTTATATCTGGAATTTATAAAATACTCAAACACCACAAGATAAAGGTAAACAATCCAATTGAAAAATGGGCACAGGATATGAACAGACACTTCACCAAAGAAGATATTCAGATGGCAAACAAACACATGAAGAAATGTTCAAAATCCCTAGCTCAAAGAGAGATGCACATCAAAACAACTATTAGATACCGTCTCACCCCAGTAGAATAGCAAAATTTAACAGAGAAGCAAGCAACAAATGCAGGCGAGGTTTCCGAGAAACTAGAACCCTTATTCCCTGTTGGTGGGGGTGTAAAATGGTGCAACCACTATGGAAGGTTGTATGGCACTTTCTCAAAGAGTTGCAAATAGAAATACCATTTGACCCAGCAATTCCACTACTGGGAATATACACTAAAAAAATCATAACTGCCACAAAAGCAGATATATGCACACCTATGCTTACTGCAGCTTTGTTCACAACAGCAAAGAGTTGGAAACAATACAAGTGCCCATCAACAAACAAATGGGAAGAGCAGGTCTGGTATATTCACACAATACTATGCTGCACTGAAAAACAAGGAACTCATAAAATATTATACAACATGGGTGACCGTGGAAGACATTATGCTGAGTGAAATATCTCAGTCACAAAAGGACAAATACTGCATAGCGCCAGTGCCACTGTTATAAAAGAAGACGGACACGGGTTGAGGGGAGAATAGGAAAGAGGGATAAATAATGTATACTGCATTGAAACAGATGAGGGAGAGATTAGGTAATACTGTCATGACAAGAGTCCAGAAAGAAAGCTGCATAGTGGAGTAGACTGGGCACAGAAGATTGTACAACAATGAAAGAATTCTTGCTTTTAACTTTTCAAAGAGAAAAGCAAACTGGGGGGGGGGGGTCATGGAGGAAAGTGTGCAACAATGAATGAATGGAAATCCAAAGTCTCTGTAAACTTCCATTAAAATAAAAAAAATTAAAAAGAAATAAAAATAAAAGAATGTTGAATCCAATATTTATCTTTGTGTTAGAAGTTAGAAGAATTTATCTTTAGTGTAGAAGTAGCTGGGAATATACAAAAAGCGCTTTCTGAAGATCTTATGCTGTTTTATTTCTTACTGTGAAAAATTATTTAAATGTGTTTTATTTCTTATTGTGATAGTTTACTTAAATGTGCTCATTTTATTATAATTCATTAAACTGTTACTTACAATTTACATATTTTGTATATTATACTTTAAAAATAAATTTAATAAAAATATATTTCACAGAGACTTAAACATATATACAATGATTCTAAGGTCACATAATTCAGGCAAAGTTCAGTGTTCAACATTACAGTGAAGATTAAAAAAATGTGTATTTTAGGGGAGCTCTGGTGGCCTAGTGGTAAGGAGCTGCAACTACAATCCCAGAGGCGCATGGTTCAAATCCACCAGATGCTCTGCCGGGAAAGGTGGGACAGGGATAATCTCCTCCTGTACCAGTCAGATGTGATTTGACAGTACACTCAGACAAAAATAATAAACTTTTTTAAAAAAATGTGTATTTGGTTTAATTAAAGAAGAAGCAATCAAACACAGATATGATATTTTCAAGTTGACATTTTATACATATATTCATTCTCATGTTGATGTTACCTAACTTTAAACTTGATAAACCTAGTCTTCTCTTTGATCTTCTAAATATTTAATTAACATAAAAATCAGCTGGGATTCTTCTTCAAAGTATAGATTCTCACCTCAGTTTGGTGCTACCATGCAGAAATAAAATCTATTTGTATCATACAGAATTACTTTATACTGAACCACAAAATAAGAGCTCTGATATTTCAAAGGCTGTGAAAAGAATTATCATAAAATCACAAATTACTGACTTTTTATAAATTATTTATCATTAACAATGTTCACAATTGAGATTGCCTGTGTCAAACAAGTTTTGTATGTCAAGGAAGAATTTAGATATTGGGCCTTTAGTAAAACCATTGATTAGAATTAAATACAAGTTTGGGCTTTTTATTTTTGTCTTAGTAAAATAAATATGAAAATCTTTAATCACCTTGAGTGATTCCCCCCTTTTTAAAAAAAAAAGCTTTCAAAAGAAAATTTAAGAAACTAACATATCGTGTCAGCACCTGAATATACTCTTCAGGACATTTTAAAAACAATCTTCAGCAAGATTTTGCTTGCAGAGGAAGATGAAAGATGACCAACCTGAGCCTCACACAGAGCATTCAAACCTTGGTTTGAGTCCTTATTCTAATGCTTTTATTACTTTTTCAACCTTGAGCAAGTCTATTTTTCACTCTGGAAGCCCATTTTCCACTTGTGGAAGGGGAAAGTCGTAATACCTACTTAGAGTAACAATTAGATCACTTGGTGGAGAGGAAGGGGGCAATGATGGCGGTGATGGAGGCAGAAGTGCTGTCCCCAGGCTGTGATCCCAGTAAGGCTCAAGGTCCAGACCTCAAAAGAGCCTTGAGGGGCAGAGCCACCGAGACCCTGAGAAGAGCTGTTATGCCCATGAGGGGAGCTGCCTGGTATGTATGAGAAACTTTATCTAAGCCTCCATCCCCTCCTCCAGTACGCCTGTAAATAACACCTCCAAAGCCCTTTTCTTAATAACTTACAAGTTTGTTCTCTTTAGACTTGCTCTCTTTCCTGTAGGTAACCTGAACACTGAGTCTTGTTCCAGAACCTGAACCCTGAGCCCAGTTCCAGAGACAAAAGGGAATTTTAGCTGTCAGCAAGGGAAATGAAGGTGGATAGAGCCTCAAAGTTCAGTCAGTCACCCTCACTGGACTCACCAAGGCAAAACCTTTGCAGTCTAGAGGGCAGAGAATGTTATAAAAATATCTTTACATCTTTTAAAATAACTGAACAAGGAAGGCGACATGCAGCTTCAACTCAAGACTATCACTAAAGTGAGCTCCTCCACAGCACGAAGCAGCCAGAGTTTGTACTCCTATTCCCAAATGGGAAACCCAAAAATAATAAAGAATCTCTTTATTAAAAAAAAAATCACCATTGGACTATGCTCACCATTACCCTGTCTTTTCTGGTCCCCACTGGATCTTTCTCATTTCCCTTACCCTCTCCCTCCACCCACTAAATTGGGCAACACTGTGATTTCATCCCTACTGGTCCTCACCCTTCTGCTCCCACTCCTTACCCCATTGTGGCCCCATACATGTTTTATTAGTTAGTTATCCTTCTATTTTTACCATAAAATAATTAAAAAGAACAATAAGAAGAAACTAACATATAAATGTCTTTGATGAGCCTGGTGTGATTTCAAGACATTTTTTACCCGGTCATGGATCTCATCACAGTTTGGAGATGAACACCAGTCAGAATGGAATCTGTAGGCATAAAAAGCAAAGATGATTTATAACCAGAAGACAAAAACAATCTTTCCAAGTTCCCAAGTGACAGATTTTCCAAAGACCTATTTGATAACAAGGGAACTCTGTTGCCATGGGGGTAAGGTTCTGTGCTAACCACTCAAGAGGTACAAGGAGTGAATCCATGAGAGAGAAGATGGGAAACGTCCTTCTGTGTGATTTAAAGGCTCTGAAAATGCACTGGAGGGTCAGCTATGAGTCAGCTCCAAATCCATGGCATACAACAATGACAATATTTTATAACATATGCAAAATAGTTTATTTTCCTCTTTTAATGAAGGGAGGAAGGCATAAAATCATACCAATTCTCAAATATGTTATTGAGTTTTCACAGTATGGTTTTTAAAATGATAATTATAAAGCTTGATATGAATTAACAAAGATATACCTAGTCTTATTTTCATTTTAATGAATTACAGAAGTAATTCTTTATAGAAATAATTCTATAAATATTTTCATGTTAAAATAATTCTATAAACAATGATTTTAAAATTGTTTTCTATTCTCCAGTGGTTTAATCACAGTCTCTTAAATGCAAGTAATTTCTTTTGGAGTATAGAAAAATAAAGCTAACTTTATGAAATCAAACCAAATGTGTCTAATACCCAAAAATATTTAGAATTTAAACATTTCTCTTTCAGAATACAGAACTAAAATAACTGAATAGTTTCTTCTGCAACACAGAGGAAATCAGTTTTCTACTCTGTTACTATGTGTGTGTGTATGATAAATATACATAATAAAATACATGTGTGTATTGCCGGAAGTCCAGGCTGGGTTTAGAAGGGGTCGTGGTACTAGGGATATTGTTGCTGATGTTAGATGGATCTTGGCTGAAAGCAGAGAATACCAGAAGAATGTCTATATGTGTTTCATTGATTATGCAAAGGCATTTGACTCTGTGGATCATAACAAACTGTGGCTGACTCTGAGAAGAATGGGAATCCCAGAACATTTAATTGTGCTAATACGAAACCTATACTTGGACCAAGAGGCACTAGTCAGAACAGAGCAGGGTAACACTGCATGATTCAATATAGGGAAGGGTGTACGCCAGGGATGTATCCTGTCTCCATACCTTTTCAACATGTATTAAGAGCAGATTATCCGAGAGGCTGGGCTCTATGAGGAGAATTGTGGCATCAGGATTGGTGGAAGATCTATTAACAATCTGCGTTATGCAGATGACACAACCCTGCTTGCTGAAACTGAGGAGGACCTCATGCACTTGCTGCGAAGGGTCAAGGACTGCAGCCTTCAGTATGGACTGAGGCTCAATGTCAAGAAGACAAAGATTCTCACCACTGGATCAACTGGCAGCGTCAGGATGGATGGCGAAGAGACTGAGATTGTTCACAGCTTCAGTTTGCTCGGCTCCACAGTCAACACTCTTGGCACCAGTAGTCAGGAAATCAAAAAGCGTATCGCGATGGCAAAGTCTGCTGTTAGGGACCTCTGTACTCAAGAGCAACGGTGTCTCTCTGGAGACTAAGGTGCACCTGATACAGGCCATGGTCTTTGCAATCGCTTGTTATGCATCAGAGAGTTGGACAATGAATAGAGAGGACAGAAGGAGAGTTGATGCCTTTGAGCTGTGGTGCTGGAGAAGGGTACTGAATGTACCATGGACTGCCAGGAAAACAAACAGATTCATCTTGGAGAGGATTAAACCAAGCTACTCCTTGGAGGCAAGGATTCTGGGGCTTCGTCTGACATACTTTGGACATGTTGCCAGGAGGGACGGGTCCTTGGAGAGGGACATCATGCTTGGGAGGGTGGAGGGACAACGCAGGAGGGGAAGACCCTCTATGAGATGGATTGATTCGGTGACTGGGGCAATCGGGATGGGTGTGTCAGAGGCGGTGCGGTTGGCGCAGGACAGAGCAGGGTTTAGGGCTGTTGTGCATAGGGTCACTATGAGTCGCAAATGACTTGACGGCACATAAAAACAACAACAACAACAACAAATGTATATATAAGATAGTTCTGGTGGTGTATCCTTAGCTAGTTGTACTGCTAACCCAAATGACAGGTTGCCTCTGAGATTCAAATCTATTAGTTGCTCCTAAAGATGAAAATAGGTAGACCCTCTTCAACAAGCACTTCAGTTTCAGCAAACAAGATTGTGTCATCTGCATAAAGCAGGTTGTTGATGAGTCTTCCTTCAATCCTGATGCCACATTCCTTCTCACAAAGCCCAGCTTCCTGAATGATATGTCCTCTATATAGATTTAAAAAGTATGGAGACAGGATGTATCTCACACACACACACACACACACACACACAGAAAAAAAGAAATATGGTTATTTTACAAACTTGTATTAGAGCCTTATGGGAAGTCAAACTTCATACCAAATATTATATAAAAACTCTTGTTCAGGAATTGAAGGAATTAGAATTAGGATTTCTCTTGTGATAGATCACAAAAAATGATCCATTTGTTCCCTGCAGACAGGAGACAGCTGGGGCCCCCCTACAGAGGGAGTGTTACATGTGAAATACTTTCTGAGCTAGAGCATTGGGATGACAATAGAGAAAAATTCGGCTTCATTTACAAGGAATTTTTTTTTATGATTTACTTCCCCTGATTATCAATAAATACAGAGAGAGGCATGGCTTGAGGCCCTTCAGTCGAGAACTGTTGGCCCCCTGTTTTATGCTCTCTGTTCTATCTCATTGCTGGCTGCTTGTCTCATTATTAATATTTATAAAAATACTTTAGCCTCGGTCTGCAACAGAGCCTCAAGTTTGGGATTAAGGGTTTCAAGTAAGAATACATATCTATCTCTTCTATCTCATTTTCATTCCATACTCAAAACAGCAAAAACATATTTGAGCAACTTTGTCCTACACAATTAAGAAAATGCCCAGATCTGTCTGATTATGATGTATCCATATGATTACTGATAACTGATTTGTAATGGAATGAGTGAAGTGCTTACATATTATTTAAGTACTTTTTACTTCCCAAATTACAATTTTATATGAATAGAACGTATTCTGGAAAGTGCAACAGAGTAGACTACAACTCATAGTGATCCTATGATCAACAGATCAGAACTTTCTCCTGATCGGTTCCATCCTTGAAACCCCCACCGTGACCAATCCCATTGTTGCAGTCACAATATCAATACACCTTGTTGAGGGTCTTCTATTTTAAAGACCCTCCACTTTTCCGAGCATTATGGTTTTTCTCAAGAGATAGCCCCTCATGAAAACATGTCAAAAGTATGTGAGATGATGTCTCAACACCCTTGCTTCTAAGGATGCTCTTACTTCAGGTTTGTTCTTTTGTCCCTTTGCTTATGCTTTTGGTAATTCATTGGATATTCAATACTCTTATCCACCATAAAAATTAAAAAGCATCAATTCTTCTCCAATCTTTCTTATTCACTACTTAACTTTCAAATGTACATGAAACTACTGAAAACATCATGGCTTGAGTCAAGTGCTTCTTGGTCTTCAAACTGACACCTTTGCTCTTTAGCATTTTAGAGAGGTCCTTCAGAGTAGATTTTCCCAGTGCAATATCTTTATTTTTAATTTCTTGACTGCTGCTACCATAGATGTTGATGGACAATACTGGAAAATGAAATCACAGAAAACTTCACTACTTTCTCCATCTATCAGGATGTTGCCTGTGGGTCTAGCATTGAGGAGTTATACTTTTTTGAAATTAAGGTGTAATCCTTATTGAAACCTGTAGTGTCTGATGTTATGCAGTAGTCTTCACTTTCTGCAAGCAAGGTTGTATTTTCTTCCATTCCTGATGGTACATTCTCTTCATTAGTCCCCCTTCTTGGATTGTTTGCTCAGCATATGAACTGAACAAAAAAGGAGAAAGAGTATTAATGACAGAGTTGGCTAATCTCTACATTGTGTTGGATCACCTCTTTGTGGAATGGGAATAAATACAGCTCTCTTCCAGTTGGTTGGCCACATCTTCAAAATTTCTTGGCACAGATTATAGAGCGCTTCTATGGCTACATCTGTTTGTTGTGATCCCTCATTCTAATCCGTAATTCATGGGGTCTGTCTGTATTTCTTTTTTGCCCAATGCCTTCAGTGAGCCTGAACTTCTTCCTTCAGTACCACAGGTTCTTGATAATAAGCTACTTTTTGAAAGGACTCAGTATTGACCAATTCTTTTTAACAGTAACTCTAAAGTCCATCCTTTTTTTTTTTAATGGCATAAAACCAAAATTTTATTCTAGGTTGGATAAGAGTAAATAAAAATTAAATACACTGAGGCCAGTCTAAAAGCACAGAAATGGGTTACAAGCTGGTGTTCTGGCTCTTGTAATCTGGCTTAAGTTGGAAGTTCATCCTGTAAATTGACAATATAATGCTGATGCTTGCCTTTGACTTGTCTTCTAAAATGCTGTACTATAATAAACATTTATAGAGCAAAAGTATCCAAAGAAAAGTAAGTTCAATGACTAAAAATATGCAGCGTTCACATGCTTCATGCATAATCAAATATTTTGCCTATAAAATTCTGCAGTACTGCAACTTGAGAATTGCATTTTTTTCTTCAGTTCTTTCAGTTAGAACATATCTAACATGCTCTTCCATTTGGTTTTCTAACTCAAGATCTTTGCACATTTGTTGTTGTTGTTGATATGTGCTGTCGAGTCGCCTGCGACTCATAGCGACCCTATGTACAACAACCCTAAACTCCGCTCTGTCCTGTGCCAATCGCACTGTCTCCGATACTCCCATCCCAATCATCCGAGTCACTGAATCAATCCACCTCATAGAGGGCCTTCCCTTCCTGCGCCGTCCCTCCACTCTCCCAAGCATGATGTCCCATTTAAGGACTGGTCTCTCCTCACAACACATCCAAAGTATGTTAGATGGAGCCTCAGAATCCTTGCCTCCAAGGAGCCACCCGATTTAACCCTTTCCAGGACAAATCTGTTTGTTTTCCTAGCAGTCCATGGTATTCTCAATACTC